CCCGGTGTCCCTGGTCTGCTGGAGACGGTCCCCAGCAGACCAGGGGCACCGGGAGCAAAGCCGAAGCTGCCCCACTGCCGGAGCCCCTCCACGGCTTTGCTCTGCGTCTTCCTGGTCTGCAGACCAGGGAGACGCAGAGCAAAGCCCCAGAGTACATGGGCGGCAGGACCGCGAGGGCCCGCAGTCCGTGTACTCTGGGGCAGCCCCGTTCGTAACTGCGGATCCGACATAAGTCGGATCCGCGTAAGTCGGGGACTGCCTGTATAGATTGTTTATTGGCATTTATGTTTGCCTGGAGTTTGCTGCTTTTGTTATAAAGAAATGCATCTGGTTATTGTACTGATTTCTGTGCAGAGAACACAATCTACTGTTTATAGAGCTAGGAGTTGTGCATTCTAATTCCTGGCTCTGCTCTTGACTAGCTGCATAACTTTGTGCAAGTTTATGCCATATTACAGAAATGATCTTGGAACAGGGCATTTATGTGCTGTCCCTTAGGGTATGTCTATGCAGCACTGCTTAACTCGAAATAAGCTATGCAAATTTAGCTACGTCAATTGTGTAGCTTTATTCGAAATTGAGAGCGTCTACACAGCACTTATTTCAAAATAGAGCACTCCTCTTCTGACTTCCCTTACTCCTCATAAAATGAGGGTTACAAGACTTTGAATAAAGTCCTCCAGCTTGACAGTATTTTGACATTATTTTGAAATATCTGCCTGCTGTGTACATGTACCCTTACTCTAAACTTTGTCCTTGTGACACAGTCTGTCTCTTAACATCTTTGTTCTTCAGTTTCTCAATTTGTAATTATTGTTTAACAGGTGCGTTGCCAGACCAAATGTTTGTAAAGTACTTTGAGATCCTTGGATGAAAGGGGTCATACAAGTGTAAATTATTAACAATAAAATGATTAATAGTCTCATTAATAAAATAACCAATTTAGAGTGGCAGTCTTTTGTATAATGGGTGAATCTAGTGGGAAAATCCATCTTAAGAACTCCTGTTGACTTTGTTGGAATGTCTGTAAGGTGTCAGCACTGTAACTTACTGTACTGTTGCTTATGTTAGTATTTATAATGGCACAAACATTAAATTGAGCATGTTTTGGCATTATTGCAGAATCCGTCTGTGTGCTCTCCGGTGATGGTATGTGGGTCAGATCCCACATGCATTATTCAGGAAATCTAGCCAGTGAAGTCAGAAGATTTACTCCTATAAAAGATTTCAGAACTGCAGCTTGTGGATACACTGGAAAATGGGCGAGTAGCATGGATAAAATCCTAGTGCCATGGAAGTTGGTGGCAAAATGGAAGAGAGATATTCAGCTGCAAGTTCCACATGCTTAGGGAGTGAAATCCTGGTTCCACTGAAATCACTGGGCATTTTAAGTTCACAGGTTGATTTTTAAGAATATGTGACTCTTGCTCTACAGCAGAGATGGGCAATAAGTGGCCTATGGGCTGGACATAGTTTGCAAGGGTTAGCCCCTGGCAGGCTGCCGGCAGTTTATTTACCTGCACGTCTGCAGGTACGGTCATTTGCAGCTCCCATTGGCTGCAGATGTGCTATTCCCAGCCAATAGGAGCTGGAGGAAGCAGTATCCCAGTCCGCCCCACTTCCTGTAGCTCTCATTGGCCAGGAACGGTGGTCTGTGGCCAATGGGAGTTGCAAGTGGCTGTATCTGACAGACACACAGGTAAATAAAATGCTGGCGTCTAACCCTGATAAACCACCTCCAGCTTATTGCCCTCCCTTGCTTTACAGCATGTTTTATTCTGTTTCCTTGATCTTTTTGGTTCCATCATTAAGGATTATTAAAAACCTTGGTTCTAATCCCATTCTTGCTCACAAAGAACAGTTAGAATTTTAATTGTTCATTTCAAATATTTTTGTCCTTCATCTTTTATGGTTTTGAAATTCTGCATTTCAAAAGTAGGATCATGGTTGCTTGGCACATTAAAGCATGTCTCTTTAAAGGATTTTCCTTTTTAATGTGGAAGAATGGAATTAAGGAGGTGGGGAGGGGGGGGACACAAATCAGTCTTGAAGGGATCCTTATAGCCAATGGTGGGGAGCCTTACACTCATCAGATTTGCAGTCTATTGGAATGTCATCTTTCTATACAGGCAGTCCCCGGGTTACGTACAACATAGGGACTGTAGGTTTGTTCTTAAGTTGAATCTGTATGTAAGTCGGAACTGGCGTCAGCCGCTGCTGAAACTGACCAGCGGCTGACTACAGGAAGCTCTGCCCCAGGCAGGATGCTCTGCCCCAGCTGCTCCGCC